CCCCCCCCAAAACACATTTAATACACTCCCTCAGTATCAAGAACTGAGCTCAGAACTGTCAGAACGCCGACCGAAAGGTGAGTGCCGGCACTGACTGGAGCAGCTATGCAGTCTGCATCCGACAGAGGTGTAGCTGCTCCCGCAAGGCGGGTACGCTGTCCGTGACCACATGCCTGACTTGTCAGCTGGCTGCGGGCCACATAGTACTGGTTCGCAGGCCGGTACTTTGAGACCCCTGGTATAAACAGTATATTTTATGCACAGTTCAAAAGTACACATGTTACACATTTATTTCCAAAATACAACATTTTACAATTTGACGGCAAGAAAGAATGTGTTTTTGGGGGTATTAAGTGTTAAATGTTTGTCATCCCTTAAAGTACACATGTGCAGAGAATTTAGACAAGTATTTACATGTTCTTAAGCAGCAAAATAAGTCCCTGCTGCCAAAGAATGTATAGGGAGAGGAACTGTAATTTGTGTCTCCGGTGTGACAATTTAAGATGAATTACTCCACGGTGCCTTCAGCTACATGGTCTCTAGGGGCTGTAAATACTTTGGCCAATGTATGGGGACAGATGCGTTGTTTTGTTTATTCAAGCCATACACCTAACTTTCTAAGTTGAGGAAAGTCCATCTTCATTTATTTTGGGGAAATTATTATTCCCTTACCTCCTTTATATCCCCTTTAATAGAGTAAGAGGCAGGCTTCTTATAGATTACTGACGTCCTACCTGTATGGTATGTTTTCAAGTGGATGTTTGCCTGCAAACTCCCTTTACTAGAGTAAAGCTGGCCATACACTTTACTACCCTCGCAAGGCAAAAGTAAAGTAATTTAAAAAACATACGATCTGCCCATCATGGACAGGCAGATTGTACTTGCGATCATCGGCGGGGTTCCGATGACTGCAATGCTGAACGGGCAGCGTGCGCACACCGGCCTGTTCGGCAGTTGTCTAACAAGTTGTTGTTCGACGGAAGATGTGCGATCGTATAGTAGAAACGGTCGCACGCCCATACACTTTGCGATTATCGTACGATCGTGGGATTTCCCGCGATTATCATACGATTATCGTACAGTGTATGGGCACCTTATGATCGAGTAAGAAGTAGGCTTCTTTTGGTCCACTAGCTGTTTACCTGCCTTTTATGTTTTCAAGTGGATGTGTGCCTGCAACATTCCATCTGCAGTTTGTGGTTATTTATCTAGTAAGCCAGTTCAGTGTCTCTTTTAAGGGCTCTGTTAGTGTGTTCTGAATCGTAGATGGAATAGCACGTTTTTCTAAAGTTTACAGAGCATGCAAAAACCTGTAGTGTTGGTGGTATGATAGCAGAATGCCAGTCTGGCTTTTGTGTGGGGAGTTGGTTCTTTTAGGACATGCTAAATTGGCTAAAAGGACAGTTGAATGCATGTAAAGTTTTTTTAAACCTGTAAAACAATTGTAATTCTGTTTTTTTTCTCTGTCCCATTGGGGAGTTTTCCCTTCACTTTCTGTCCTATAGCCGCATTAGAAAGCCAGAGAAAATCCTTCCAAACGAAGGGAAATCTCTGGTTGTCAGCAGGGTTACCAGAACTAGTGTCCCCATTGGAAGATGTCCCTTCTATTCCTGTTTGACAACTCTAAATTTGGAATTTTGTTTCAGTTTCACACTCTGATAACTCACCTGGACAAATCAAGACAGTAAATCATCCAACGGGAACACAGACTATGATCAAAAACCTGCCATCGTGGCGTGCCCAAATATCCGTACGTGAGCAGCTATTCGGGACTCAGAAGTGCCAGTAACCGCTGAGAATCAGCGGTTACTGTTCATCAATGGATGCCTCAGTATTGAAGCATCCATTAATAAAAGAATTAGGCTTTTGTAAAAAGTTCAACTTGCAGGAGCAGATACACGATCTACATCTCTAATGCAGACTGCCTAGCTGCTCCTGTCAGTGCCCGGCACTCAGATCCTTTTGCCAGCATTCTGACAGTCTTCACTGAACGTCGGCTGAAAGGATGGATTAGTAAGTTCTGCACCAGACCTTGCTAATCAACCACTGGATCCAGGGCCTCATCAAAATAAGCAGGTGAGAGAGCTCGCGGGGGGAATGGGCAATGTATTTTGTGTGTGCTTGGAAGGGGGGGTGTATTATTCTATGTGTATGGGGTGTATTTTGTGAGTGCAAAGGGGGGAGGTGATGTATTTTTATGTGTGTAGAGTATATTAGGCCCCATTCACACCTATATTTCAGGTGCGATTAGCGATTCCTGTGTCAGGGACTTGCCTTTTACTGCAGCATAAATTCTTAATCTGCTGTTTACAAGCGGCACCTGTCACCCATTCAAGTTGATGATCAGGTGACAGCTGCTGCATGTAAACACCTGCACACCACATGTAATGGTATGTAAACTGATTACACGCAGTTAGAAAACAATCACTCTCCCTGGATGCACGATCGTGCATCCAGGGAGAGTGATTGATTCCTAACTGTGTGTAATAATATC